TAATCACTTGATGGTAATAATGAAGCATAAAGATTATCGAATTGAGCTGAACCTTGAGATTTTTCTTTTCGATGTATTTCAGCATTTGAATATGAAGAAATTTCATTGATTAATTCTTTTTCACCGTGTTCTTCTTCATTATTATGACGAACACGTTTGGATACTTTTGGTGATGGAGAACGACCACGATCGGATTGAGCTGTTCGACGATGACGATCACGATCACCTACTTCACTGTCAACATCAACATTATCATGATGAGATCTTCTCGACATTTGACTGTCTTGATTTTTGAGTGGAAATAGAAAAGGAAATTGTAGAATTTTGCGAAATCAAAGACGTTTTGTTTCAGCCAATCGAATTTAATTCACACAAATGTGTGTCTATATCGGTCTGTGGAAATGAAAGAAAAGAGGGCGCCACATTCTCAATATTGTTCATCATTGCGGTGTTTATGACCTACTTCCTACTAGATTGAAAATATTATATTTTCCAAGTAGTCAAAGATTACTATGACCTCAAATAGATCAAAATAGCTCTTTATAGTTCGAATGTAGACAAAGATATAATATGTCCAGATGTATTATAGTTATTATACAATTTCTAATTGAGTGAATATCAAAATCAATGATATCATTATTTGTTTCTATATTCTTTAGATATTAAAATGTAAGAATAACATGTTTACAACAATATATCTAAACTGAACATTCTCTTGATGAAAAATAGTTCTTAAAGAGACATGTTATTATCGTGTGATTAATAAAAATTCAAGAAAATTTGAGCGTCATCTGTATGTCATAACAACCACTGAATCTATGTTTTTCTTTTATAGAGACAAATGCTCTCATAGAAATCTATCAACAAGTATTTCTCTATAAAGAAAAATATTTTCTTGAAAAAACACTTCGATCTCATTCGAAATGTCTCAATCAACTTATTTTTCAACAGTTGATTCATTTTATTGAGAGAAAAATACATCGATGTACTTCGATCAAACAAATTATAGAATTTTTCACAGTAAATAAGATTCGAACAAATCGTTTTTAAAGATAATATTATCCTTGATTTTAACTACGAATAATCTTCTTCGAATATAAAAAAAAGAAAAGAACGAAGATTTTTCTTCTTTTTCTTTTATGTGTAAGAGAATACTTTTGTTCGTTTTATTAAATGATATCTCGTACTACTTCAACTGATGTGCAATAGATTTTTTTTTCTATAAAAACAGAGTCTATAACAATTTGGTCGTTATTGACAGCGATGTTTTTGTTATTTGAAAGTGTTGGTGGAGGAGCNCTCGTTCTTTAAACTGATGCCGAAGAAATTTGACTGAGAAAAAAAAAGAAAGAACGAACACAAATAGTTCCTTTTTTCCTTCTTCTTTCTCTCAGATTCTTTTTTATGTCATCTATTCACATTCATTCACAATTTTTATCAGGTAAGAATATTCAGAAACAATTTCAATGTGTGAAAATCATTGATTTGGAAAAAAAGGAAACAATGAGATGTTGAAAGAAGTTTTATGAAACAAAAACCCATTTTTGACCTGTGAACTTTTCGAAATGTCCTGAAGAGAAAAAGATGAGAATTATTGCTTCTTTTTCAATTAGAAATATTTGTTTAGAAAAGAAGAAAAAAGTCGAAAGAAAAAAAAAACTTGATTTTGGTTCAGTTTAAGAGTTTCTTTGATTATTTCGTTGTCAATAACAAGAAAAATAAGATTTCTTTCTCCCTCGAGTTAAATTAAACAAAAAAAACGAAAGATNAATTCTTCGTTGTTTCTTTTTATTAAAATGATATTTTAGAAAATTATTCAACGTGTCATGTTAAATATTATTGAAAGTATTCGAATGAGATTAAAAAGACGTGTTGGATGTTTTGGTTTATATGGTTATGATTTTATGATTGATGAAAATATGAAAGTTTGGTTAATTGAAGTTAATGTTAATCCAGCTTTACAAACAAATACAAATACACTTCTTCAAGCCATTCCACCGGTTGTTAATGAATCAATTTGTATGAAAATTTTCAATAAAAAACAATCAATAAAAGATTTTTCTTCTCTTTTTTTTTCTTTTAGTATTATCAATTGAATGTTTTGAAAAAATTCGTAATAATCAACGAATCTTTCCATTGAGATCATTAAAAGGTTTTCGATGTATTTATAATGAATTAGAAAGAAAAGGTTCATTACCATATTTGGATCAAAAACGAACAACAACAACAACAGATAATACACGAAAGAATCCTTCACAATCATCAACAACTGTTTCTCCCTTAACAAAACCAAATACAAATAATAATTCTGCACCAATATCTCAATCGAATAAAACAAATTCCAATAATTCTCCACCAACTTCTCCTAAAACTTTACCTAAAATCAATGATCAACAATCAACTCCAACACAAAAAGCATCTTCATCACCACCAATAATTTCTACTCGTTCAACTCAAGAACGTGCAAGATTGAATCGTTCATTGGAATCCTTTGTCTCTTCATCAACAACACCACCTGGAAATCATTCTCCAACATCACCAAATGAAACAATGGTTATGAGATATCAACAAATTCAACGATTCAAAACAAATTTCGAAATGTTAAAACCAGCAACTGTTATTGCTGAAGATTGGAAAAATTTAGATAAAACTCAAAGAGATCGTTTAGGTTTCGGTGGACCAAAAAGTCTTGTACTTGTTTCAAAATCTCCGACGTCAACAAAACACACTCCAGCAATACAAACATAGGGACACGGGGCAATTGCATCAACTTCTTCTTATTCATCTCCTGCATCTCCTTCAACTTATCGACAACAAGAAAATTGGCTTATTACTGGACGACAACTCACTGTTGTAGATACAAAAACACTTGGTAAGTCTTTTGCAAAAAGAAATTTTCGTCTACTCAAATATTCTTTTTATTAGGAACATGGCTTAAAACACGACAACAAGAACAAAAGGATAATGATGAACAACAACAACAACAATTAACAAGAGATTCAACTAATCTGGTCGAAAGATCATCTCAAACATTTGGAAATTCATCTGATATTTCATCTACAGGTACAACAACAAATGGAAATGATATTCGTTCAGTAAATCAAGGAATTCATTTAGAACAATTCACACGAAATCGTCCAAGTTCAGCAAAAATTCGAACAAATTCTCTTTCACCTACTGAAAANAATTGTTCGTTGTTTCTTTGTATTGAAATGATATCTTAGAAAATCATTCAACGTGTCATGTTGAATATTATTGAAAGTATTCGAATGAGATTAAAAAGACGTGTTGGATGTTTTGGTTTATATGGTTATGATTTTATGATTGATGAAAATATGAAAGTTTGGTTAATTGAAGTTAATGTTAATCCAGCTTTACAAACAAATACAAATACACTTCTTCAAGCTATTCCACCTGTTGTTAATGAATCAATTTGTATGAGAGTTTTTCAATGAAAAACAATCAATAAAACATTTTTCTTCTCTTTTTTGTTTTAGTATTATCAATTGAATGTTTTGAAAAAATTCGTAATAATCAAAGAATCTTTCCATTGAGATCATTGAAAGGTTTTCGATGTATTTACAATGAATTAGAAAGAAAAGGTTCATTACCATATTTGGATCAAAAACGAACAACAACAACAGATAATACACGAAAGAATCCTTCACAATCATCAACAACTATTTCTCCCTTAACAAAACCAAATACAAATAATAATTCTGCACCAATTTCTCAATCGAATAAAACAAATTCCAATAATTCTCCGCCGAATTCTCCAAAAACTTTACCTAAAATCAATGATCAACAATCAACTCCAACACAAAAAGCATTTTCATCACCACCGATAACTTCCACTCGTTCAACTCAAGAACGCGCAAGATTGAATCGTTCCTTGGAATCCTTTGTCTCTTCATCAACAACGCCACCTGGAAATCGTTCTCCAACATCACCAAATGAAACAATGGTCATGAGATATCAACAAATTCAACGATTCAAAACAAATTTCGAAATGTTAAAACCAGCCACTGTTATTGCTGAAGATTGGAAAAATTTAGATAAAACTCAAAGAGATCGTTTAGGTTTCGGTGGACCAAAAAGTCTTGTACTTGTTGCAAAATCTCCGACGTCAACGAAACACACTCCAGCAATACAAACATAGGGACACGGGGCAATTGCATCAACTTCTTCTTATTCATCTCCTGCATCTCCTTCAACTTATCGACAACAAGAAAATTGGCTTATCACGGGACGACAACTCACTGTTGTAGACACAAAAACACTTGGTAAATCTTTTTCAAAAAGAAATTTTCGTCTACTCAAATATTCTTCTTATTAGGATCATGGCTTAAAACACGACAACAAGAACAAAAGGATAATGATGAACAACAACAACAATTGACAAGAGATTCAATCAATCTGGTCGAAAGATCATCTCAAACATCATTTGGAAATTCATCTGATGTTTCATCTACAGGCACAACAACAAATGGAAATGATGTTCGTTCAGGAAATCAAGGAATTCATTTAGAACAATTCACACGAAATCGTCCAAGTTCAGCAAAAATTCGAACAAGTTCTCTTTCACCTACTGAAAAATTCTTGAAAAGTAAAGAAAGGTCATCAAATAAAGCTTATCCATGGGAATTTGATGATTGGTACAATTTAAAAGATTTAACTGGTTCAACAAATAAATCTGCACTTATTTATCGTCTGATGCGTTCAAGACTTGAAGCCAATTTAGCTAAATCGATATCTGCAAATAGAGATCAAACAAATAATAACAATAAGAAGAAAGTCTCAACATCAACAAGTACATGATGCAATTGTCCGAAAAGCGTTTTTAATCGTCAATTCACGAACGAGTTTTCTCTTTAGTTTCTTTTCTATATTTAATTAACAACTTTTTTTTTACATTAAATTGAATTTGTAGATAAATGAAAATCTTTCTCTTCTCTATTAACGCTTCCAACTGCATGTGTAAAAGAGAGAGAGAGAGAGGAAAGAACCGCTTTTTTCAATGGAGAATCAAATTCTGCATTATATAGACTGGTTTTAACAGGATTTCATCGATCGGTGAAACAGTTGATTCGATAGAACAAGGTCATTCTCAAATTCTATTACTATAAAGAAGAAAATTTGTTCGTTCATCTGTTCACTATGGATTCGGTCCAGAGATGGTATCATCGTATAACACAACACGACACATGTGTATATGAGAAGAACACACATTTGCAATTTTTCAATTTCTCTTCTATTTGTTCACGAAACAATCATTTCGATTATTTGCCAAAGAAAATATCACGAGGAAATCAATTTCATTAAAGATTAATTTGAATTATAGAGACGAGAGAGAGAGAGAGAGATTTGTTTCCTCTCAATGAACATATTTTGAACCTTTTTCTCAGACGATATTCTCCATCTAAAAAGGAATGGAGTTTAAGACTATTCCTGTAAAGATATGTCAAGTGTTATTTTTCATTCCCAAGTATTTGACAACGTGATCGATGGGTGTGGGTGAGGGTGTATGTGTCCGGTTTTAATTCTAAAGATAATACAATAACTCTTACATCGAATTGTTAATCATTACAAATGGAATTTAAAATCTATAAAAATTTTGAAAACTAATTTAAAAGGTATCTAGGGTTATATCAAAAGGTTTTCAGGGATAGTGAGGCATTATACCTACATCCACACAACTCGTCTAAGGTAATATGTGTATAGATGTGATAGAGAGCTATCGACTAATGTGGAAAATGTGCGTCTTTGCTTTAATCTCAAAGAATTGTTTTACATTTAACCTTACATAGAAAGTATTTGAGAAAGTTTTCCAGAACACGTGAAAAATGGTGGGAAACAATGTATATGTACTAGATTCTCTCTAACATCACTTTCATGTCATTTCATCAATTGTACAGTAAAGTTGTAATTCATTCAAATATCAACTTTTTCTCCAGATTAAATTTTATTCGTAGACAAATAGAAGTCCTTCATCTTTGTACACATAAAATTTGCCACTATTACTTGATTATATTCACAAAAAACTTGTACAATCTACAAAAATCGAAAGAATTCAATTTAAGTTAAGGGAGCTTAGCTCATACGGTAGAGCGATCGATACCCGAAGCTTCCAACGATGAAATTTTTCTTCGGACATTATTCAGAGAAATGGAGTAATGATATTTCATTAGAATATGTTCTATGAAAACCAGTTTATAAGATAGATATAAACAATAGTCCAATTTATTAGTGAAAACGCTGATGAATCTGAAGAATTATAATGTCACTTTGATTCGATCGAGATGAATAAGGTCCATCCAATTCCACCAATCATTTCATCTACAACATTATTCTAAAACTTGAAAATTGAATTCGACTATTACTACCTAAAATACTTTCCGAAACACATACATACCATCTCACATGAATCCTTAAATACAACTTTCAAGTACTATATTTACAAGTTGTCGTTGAATCGTTTTTGCTTTACGTAATGTTTAAACGTTGCATTAATTATTTTCGTAAAGATAATTTCGATGGAACCATAAGATTTTTTTCAAATAAAATATACAAAATAGATCAATGAATAATATCGTACCATATATTTTTACATGTAGATTCTTTCTCTCTTCCATTCTTAAACGTGTTGTCATCAAATCGTTTTTATTATGGAGGTCACAAGATGATTCCATAGTCTGTATATATTGTGAATGGTACGAAGAATAAAAGAAAATCTAAACCCATCGAAATATTTCTATCATTTGAATGATAAATCTTCATAGTTGTAATTGAAAACGTTAAAGAGAACATCTCATTGATCATAATGTAAAATCGTTGTAATATTATTTAGTGGACTATTCAAACGATGTAGTAGTATCATCGAAAAGTATTATCAACCAATATTTCGATTAAAAGATCAGATGAAGATTCAAAATAACATTCTCGAGTTATTATTTTGATTCTTATCTTTTTCAAAAATGAATTTTCAACGAGACAACAAGTTCCTCTCGTAATGATTCTCATAAATAGAATTTCATCAACTAAATTGTTTCTTCCATAACATGGAACATGTTGAAATAACTTTCATTAATTTTTCTAAAAGATGATTTTTGTTGACATTATCTTTCGTTTGTTGAATAATATTAAAAGAAGAAGAAAAAAATCTTTCGAGTGGTATCTACTCAATTAGTTGATAATGGAAGCGAGCGAGAACGCTACGCACAGACACAAAAACAAATACAAAAAAAAAAAGAAAAAACGAAAAAAAAAGAAGAAAAAGACGATAAATGGAGGAATGCTAAAAGCACGATGCCGAACAAAGTTTCTTTTTTTTTAGAATTTGTTTTGTAAATAATATCAATCATTCTCTTCAATTGGGCTATTTGAATGTTGTTTTAGTTTTTTTAAATGAATATCATCTTTGATATGTGTTTCATATTCAGATATTGTTGAACATGATGTTTTACATATTAAACATCGATATGCTAATTGTTCAATCTTAAATATGTAACCTGATAAATGATTCAAATCTTCACGTGTATTTAGAGAAACAGGTAATGTTGATGGTGAGATTTGCCAACAAAGTAATGCATGACATCGACATGATTCATATAATGGCCCTATGAACAAATTCATGTTTCGAAAGAATGAAAAATGTGAGAAATAACTTACAAACAAGATTACATCTTTTACAAGAATAACCAACATCAATTGTTTGATAATCGACATTGTGATGATCATTATCAAGTAATTGTTGAAGAGTTTTTCCATCTTGTGTATATTGAGCACGTGTGAGATGAGCATCTGATTTACTTAATGAAACAATTTTATTTAAAGCATCAGATGGTAATTGTAACATAAACAATGGTGTTCCATGAATATTTGGATCCATCAATCCATAATTATATGGATCCATTCCTTTTCAAAATGAACAACAAATCAGAAATGAAGAAGAGAAGAGAAGAGAATGGACTTACCGAGTGGCATGAGATGCATCAAACTTAAATAAGACATAAGTTGATTTTGTTCATCTTTTGTTGATTTGTCTAATACTGATGTTGGTGAATTATCTAAATCTAATTTCACATTGATACTGTTCTTTTTATAATTTTGATCATCTTTTATCGTTGCAACATTAGATGAAATCTGTTTGGATAGAATACAACGAATATTTTCAATATGTTTTGTAGTAAATAAATGATCCTTTGAAAAGAAAGAAAAGATGAAAATGAAAAAGAAAAAGAAAAGACAAGGAAACGAACTCTTTGAGGATTTTGTAAAGTATATTTGCATTGACATAATTTACATTGTTCATTCGTTGGTTGATATTCATCTGGAAGATCTGATTTGAAAAAGTGAGGATTTTTCTTTTCTTTTGCTCGAGCATTTTGAAACCAAACTTGTACAACACGTTTTTGTAAATCGATTTCTTTTCCTAATAATTCACATTCTGGCATAGTCGGTGTTCGATATTCCATAAAAATGGCTTTCATTAGTTTAATTTGTAAAGGACTCATTTGCGTTCGAAATCTTCTTTGTCCGTTAATACCATTTGATGATGATTGAATTGATCCTGTTGGTGATAAATGTCCATTTGAAATAATTTTCTGTGAAATTTGTTGTTGTTGTTGTTTATTTAAATGAAATTGAAAATGTTCATTGGAATCATTTGATTGTGAACTTGAATCATTCCATTCATTAATTATTTGTTGATCATTCTCGACAAGTTTTTTCTCTTTTTTCATTGGTGCTTTTGATGATAAATCTAATGGAAGTTCGTCAGTTAAAAATGAATTTGTTGGAAAGAAATCCCAATCAATTTCATCTTTTGTTTTATATTTATCTGAATGTTTGTTTAATAAATGTTGTTCAAAGGTTAATTTCGATTTAAAATTTGTTGAACAATGAAGACATTTCTTATTAATTAAATCGGAATCGATTTTCATATTTCCTTTTCTTTCTCTTGCTCGAGTATTTTGAAACCAAACTTGAACAACTCGTTTCTTTAATTTGACTTCGGAAGAAATCTCTTCTAACATTTTCCTTGATGGATTTGATTCAATCGAATATTTCGACATGAGATAATCTTGTTGTTCGGGAAGAATTGTTGTTCGATTTCGTTTACCATTATTTACATTTAGAAGTTTTCGACTTTCATCATTGGAATCAATACTTGTTCCTCCATCTTCTTCTTCAAGTTCATTTGATGATTCATCTTCGGAGGCAATTGATGATGAAACACTTGCTTTAGTTAAATCATTTCGACAGTTTAATCTCAATGAAGATGATTGAGGAGGTGTAGGTGAAGTCGAAATATTTAATAGATTTGGTGTTTGTTGAGGATTTGTAAACAATTGGGAAGACAAAGTAGCCATTGCTGCAGCTGCTGCAGCTGCAGCTGGATGATAAGCAGCAAGTGGAAAGAAAGCAGCAGCATTCAGAAGTGCTTGCATATGTAATGTTTGATGTTCATGAAATTCAGTTGACGATGTAAAAGTTTTGTCACATTGATCACAATAATTCTCTTTTCGATGATTATTAAATGAAGAAGAAAATTGTTGTTGTTGTTGTTGAGCTAATGTTGCTGCATTTATTAACATTTGATATGATGATAATGGATCAAGAGTTGCTGATGAAGAATTTCCTTCGATAAGTTCATNATCTGTTTGGATAGAATACAACGAATATTTTCAATATGTTTTGTAGTAAATAAATGATCCTTTGAAAAGAAAAACAAAAAAGAAATGCAAAAGAAAAGGACAATGAAACAAACTCTTTGAGGATTTTGTAAAGTATATTTGCATTGACATAATTTACATTGTTCATTCGTTGGTTGATATTCATCTGGAAGATCTGATTTGAAAAAATGAGGATTTTTCTTTTCTTTTGCTCGAGCATTTTGAAACCAAACTTGTACAACACGTTTTTGTAAATCAATTTCTTTTCCTAATAATTCACATTCTGGCATAGTTGGTGTTCGATATTCCATAAAAATAGCTTTCATTAATTTAATTTGTAAAGGACTCATTTGAGTTCGAAATCTTCTTTGTCCATTAATTCCATTTGATGATGATTGAATTGATCCTGTTGGTGATAAATGTCCATTTGAAATAATTTTTTGTGAAATTTGTTGTTGTTGTTGTTTATTTAAATGAAATTGAAAATGTTCATTGGAATCATTTGATTGTGAACTTGAATCATTCCATTCATTAATTATTTGTTGATCATTCTCAAAAAGTTTTTTCTCTTTTTTCATTGGTGCTTTTGATGATAAATCTAATGGAAGTTCGTCAGTTAAAAATGAATTTGTTGGAAATAAATCCCAATCAATTTCATCTTTTGTTTTATATTTATCTGAATGTTTGTTTAATAAATGTTGTTCAAATGTTAATTTCGATTTAAAATTTGTTGAACAATGAAGACATTTTTTATTAATTAAATCAGAATCGATTTTCATATTTCCTTTTCTTTCTCTTGCTCGAGTATTTTGAAACCAAACTTGAACAACTCGTTTCTTTAATTTGACTTCAGAAGAAATTTCTTCTAACATTTTTCTTGATGGATTTGATTCAATAGAATATTTTGACATAAGATAATCTTGTTGTTCGGGAAGAATTGTTGTTCGATTTCTTTTACCATTATTTACATTTAGAATTTTTCGACTTTCATCATTGGAATCAATACTTGTTCCTCCATCTTCTTCTTCAAGTTCATTTGATGATTCATCTTCAGAAGCAATTGATGATGAAACACTTGCTTTAATTAAATCATTTCGACAATTTAATTTTAATGAAGATGATTGAGGAGGTGTAGGTGAAGTTGAAATATTTAATAAATTTGCTGTTTGTTGAGGATTTGTAAAAAATTGAGAAGATAAAGTAGCCATTGCTGCAGCTGCTGCAGCTGCAGCTGGATGATAAGCAGCAAGTGGAAAGAAAGCAGCAGCATTAAGAAGTGCTTGCATATGTAATGTTTGATGTTCATGAAATTCAGTTGATGATGTAAAAGTTTTGTCACATTGATCACAATAATTCTCTTTTCGATGATTATTAAATGAAGAAGAAAATTGTTGTTGTTGTTGTTGAGCTAATGTTGCTGCATTTATTAACATTTGATATGNTGCAGCTGCAGCTGGATGATAAGCAGCAAGTGGAAAGAAAGCAGCAGCATTCAGAAGTGCTTGCATATGTAATGTTTGATGTTCATGAAATTCAGTTGACGATGTAAAAGTTTTGTCACATTGATCACAATAATTCTCTTTTCGATGATTATTAAATGAAGAAGAAAATTGTTGTTGTTGTTGTTGAGCTAATGTTGCTGCATTTATTAACATTTGATATGATGATAATGGATCAAGAGTTGCTGATGAAGAATTTCCTTCGATAAGTTCATTTTTGACTTTTGGAAGAGAGATTTTCTTTGAATTGCTCGATGAAGGTGAACATTGTTTTGCATGTTTCATCAATTCAGCAAAACGTGAAAATAATTTTGAACAATTTTTACACGAATAACCTTCATCTTTTTCTTGTTTTAAAATTAATTCCTCATCTTGTTGCTGCTGTTGTTGTTGTTGAAGTTGATTCGGTTGAATTTGTTGATCGACATTGGAATCATTTTGATTATTTTCATAAGATTTTCTCGCTTTTTGTCGAGCATTTTGAAACCAAACAACAATAACACGAGAATTTAATTTTAATTTTTGAGAAAGAATTTCTAAATCATCATCTTTTGGATATGGATTTGCTTCAAATGCGTCTTGAAGAAGACGAAGTTGTTGATCACTGAATCTTGTTCGATTTGCACGACGTGATGTTTGTTGTTGTTGTTGTTGTGTTTGAGTTGGAGTTTGTTGTTGATATTGTTGTTGTTGTAATTTAAATGTTTGTTGATTGAAATCATCAATATCAGAAAGAAGATCTTGTTCATCATTCGAAGTAAAATCATTATCTGAATAATCGGAATCATTTGCTGATCTTTTGACAATTGTTCCTGTTTTCTGATATTCATCTAAATCAAATTGATTTGATGTTAATGGAGGATTGGAGAAATTATATGGTGAATCTTTATTTTTTTGTCTTTCTTTAAATAAAGTATTTCGAAACCAATGTTTAATCACTTTGGTTGTTAATTGACTTTTTTGTGACATTAATAAAATTTGTTCATCACTTGGAGAATTATTTAAATTAAAATATTCTCTTAGAATTCGTAATTGTTCATCTGTAATACGTGTTCTTTGTCGTTTATTATTTAAATCAAATTGATTTGTTGTTTGATAAAGAAGATTTTCATAACGAGATTTTTTATTTTGATTTAATTCATGAAATGATGATGATGATGATTGTCGTTTTAATTTATTTGTTGTTGTTGGTGATGATGATGATGATGATGATGATGAATGAAGTTTTTGTAAAAGAAATATCCAATGTTGAATAGCACGTGATGAAAGAACGATCGAATGAATATCTTCATAATGAACTTTTAATGTTGATAAACTTGAAAACTTTTTTAAACATAAATCACAAAGAATTTCATGAGAAGAATTTTCTTCTTCAACTTGATGATTTTCCAAATAATGTAAAACAATATCTTCACCGATGGAAATTAATCTTTCACGTGATTTTGAGACGAAATTTGTCGATATTGACGATGAACTTTTTGGTTCTAATCGAAGATTTTCGATTAAATTTATCGAATGAATTTCATGAAAATGTTTTTCAAGTATCGATAACGAATTAAAATATTGATTACATCCCTTCTTCCAACATAACAATCCAACGTTTTTTTCATCTTCATCGATATGATCTAAACAAAAAAGAAAAATTTTCCTATAAAGAAAAAAACACATCGATTCGACTTCGATTTACTTTGATCTTGAAAATGATTTACTAAAAGATAAAAATCTTTAAATGTTTTATTTGGACACGAATGACAACGATATTCATCAGTTAATTCGGCCATTGATGATAATCCTTTGAAAAGAAAGAAAAAAAAAACAAAAGAAATGAAAATTATTCTTAAATGAATCTTTCGTCGTTTTTTCGAATCGAAATGAAATGAAAAATGAAAGAAAAAGAGGGCGCTAGACGAACTTTCGATAACTTCTCAGCTGATTTGCACATTACTGATTTATTTCGATGAAAAACAAATGTCTTTGTAAATGAAAATGAAAATGAAGAAGTTGAAATGATTCGAATAAAAAACGGAAAGAGAAAAAGAAGAATAAGGGAAACAAGTCAATAAGTTTGTCTAATGAAGGCGAATGAATGTGGTCGCTTTCATCGTCGTCTTTTTCTCGTTTTTTTTTTCTTCTCTTCTTTTCATTCATTAAGAAAGAGAACGCAAAGGGGGTAATCTCGGGTATTTTGCGTTGTCTGTGAGGCCACCACCATCACTACTTCGAACAGAATAAAATGTTGATGACATCGAACCCTCATCGACGACGACGACGACCAATAACATATAAATGAAATTAGTAATTGTTCGCTCACTTCGCGTTTTTTTTTCATTCTTCGTCTCTTCGTTCACCATTGGATAGAGATCATCAACCTAATTTATTTTCTCCTCCTCATCTTTCTTTCGACGATGACCTCTCTCTTTTTCTTCGTTTTTTTTCTTCTTTTCTTTTTCTTTCCTTCGTATTTCTATTCAACACTATCGTTAATTAAAGGTAGACTTCAACTCACTCATTCACAATCAATATTATTTACATTCAAATATACAAATCAACCAACATTTTACTCTTACCTGAATCTCCGATCAATGATAGACATCGGTTCAATGCATCTCGAGTACAATTGTGTATTGAACATAAATGTTCTTTCAGCGATTCCTTTAACAGACGAAGAAGAAGAAGAAGTTTGATCTGAGATCGAAAAAAAAAGGGGGAAGAGTGTGACTTACCAATGTGTTTAAATTCGATTGAGAACAAAGTGGACATGTAAATGTTTCAACAGCTGATGATTCTGTAACCACTTTCATATCTAAAATAGAATCATAAGTTTGGTTTGTTGGATTGTATATTTGACTGATAGGGTAACATGTATATTAACTAACTAACGATCGAACCATCTAAAGAGAGACTCGACTGGTAACAAGTCAGTTCTATGATACTAAGAGGAGAATAAGAAGAAGAAGAAAAAACCGAGAGAAAAAAAAACGAGAAGAAAAGATGCAACGTCTTGGAATCTCGTTTGGATAGAGAAAAAGGAGACCGTTGATTGCCAATTACCCATAATGAGCGGCAGCTCGACGACGACGACGATTAGACAGAATAGAGAGAAAGAGAGATTGTTACATAAATTATTTCTTCTCTCTCTCTCCCTCTCTTTCTCGACGGCTGTCGCCTCATTCCTAATGGATTTCGTTCCTCTTTTTCTTTCTTAACATATAAACTGGCATCGACACTCTCAATGCGAATATCGCTTTCGATACCAACCATAACCATCCGCTAATAAGCGACCTATAACAGAGAAAGTGTCTATAGCCTACTCTCAAGAAAAGAGAACGACAATAACATAACGACGACGACGACGACTATTCACATCTTTCACATTCACCGATAGAACACATAGATAGATGTAACAGATTTTTATATTAACGGAACCAACCACGATTAATGACAAGCAACAACTAATACAAGAAAAAACAAAGAAAATAAATCATTCGTCGTCGTTCGTCGTCTTCTTCTTCTTCCTTATTCTCTAATTTTCCTTTCTCTTTTTTTTTATTCAAAACGAAGATATTGATCGAAAGATTTTGTTCTCGTGATTTTTCACTTGAAATCAAGAAAATAAACGAAAGATTAAAACAAAGACTCATTCTTGACAAAGTTAAAAGGAAAAACTTGTCATTAACGATTTGAAAAACTTATTGGAAAGAAGAAAAAAAATAAATAAAAATAAGAACAAAGTTAACAAACCTTGTGATTGCGATGTTTGATCAAGTGAAGAATTATCAGGTGAAGGAATAGATGTTGTCGAAATTTGTTGAATAGATGATGATGATGATGATGATAAATCTTTACAATTATTCATATGTTTATCAGATTGCATATGTATTGCCAAATTTCCTTTCGTTGTTGTAGAATAAAGACATAATTCACATCGATAGGGTTTGAATCCACATGGATATTGTTCACCACGTGCAAGACGAGGATGAACACTATTTGATAAACAATAAGAACAAGTTGTTTCAATCTCAGCTGCACTGTTTAAATTTCCATCAGAATTTGTTCCCATTTGATGTTTTTCTTTCATATGAATTTCTAATGTTTCTTGATATTTATAATGCCAATTACCTTTTGAGAAAAAAAGACGAGAAAAAGAAGAAAAAAAGTAAAAAATTAATTTTGAAAAAGAAAAAGAAAAGAAGATTTACATTTTGGACATTTAAGTGTTTTCGATGAATTTCGTGAATGAACATTTGATAAACGATTTTCAGGTGACAATGATTGTTCAGCCACTGCCATGACCTACAAATCAAGATTTATTAAAAGAAATTTTTATCAAAAGATTTCTTTCTTTTACTTCAATCGGAATGGTGAGAGTTGATGATGGTTCATTCATCACATCATCTATTATGATTATTTAACAAAGAATTTTGTCATTCAATATGATTTTCGTTTTCTTTTCTTCAATAGAAAAAAGAAATCTTTGAAAATAAAAACGATTATTGATATGAATATTATCAGGATCACAAAAAAGAAACGAGAGAAGGAGAAAGAGAACTGTTAGATAGTCTATATAGTGTTAGTAACAATTGTGTTCTTCTTGTGCGTTTTAATATTCTTACTCGAATCCAAAGCGAACGAGCGAAAAGATAAAAAAGGGAACGAGTAGCACAACAAAAGAATGACGGCGCAATGCGCACTTGCAAATCCAATACGGGCTGCTCATGCAGCCGAGTGCGCTAACGAGCGAGAGACGACAGCAACAGCGAGAATGATTATTGTATTGAGCTGAGGCAGGCAACCATGTTGCTCAAATCAAATCACACAGCACCAATATATAAAGAGAGAGAGAGAGGGAGAGGGAGAGAAAGACTTGTTGTTGTCTAATTGCTGGCTGCTGCTTCTACTTGTGCCATTTTCTTCTCTTTCGTCTTCTTCTTCTTCTTATTCTCATTCTTTTCCTAGAAAAGAACTGAGAGAGTAATTTAATGAATAAGGACGATGAATGTGATTAGAAAAAAAAGAGAGTTCCGTTTGTCGACGAATATGTGCCTCTCGACGATGTTCGATTCGGGACCAGAACAAAAATGATTAAAAACATTGAATATTCTCAGCTCATTCGAATATTTCTTCATATATGTACCTTTCGTTTATTACAGTCGAACCACCTCATTCTCATTTGGATCGATGGTGTTGAGACATATACACAGAAAAAAAGAAAGAAAGAAAAGAAGAAAAAAACACAACATCGAGCTTTGTCTCTATCTATGATTACCTAATCAAGTGAATAGCGACGAAAGAGAGAGAACGCAAAAATTTCCTTGCTCTCTCTTCTCTGCCCGATAGTCATTATGACTCTCTGCGCTTGTTGCCGGTGAAGCACAGAGGATGGTGGAGAATATAAGAGAAAGAGAGATCATTGACAATTTATAATCGTCGGTCGTCTGTATGTATGTGCATACTCGTTCGTTTGACGACTCTTACTTCGATTTGATTCAATGATGGCGCGTCGCTCCATTAAATTCAACAATTTTTCTTTCTCTCCCTCTCTCTTCTTTTCATATTTGAGGCGTGGTGGTCATTTGATTAAACTAAAAGATGGTTGAATAACAAACGGCACACCGACTGGTTTAATCATGTAACATAAGACACTTAACAGAGAACTTATAGTTTGAATGATCCACATAACTCTGACTTTTTTCTCTAAAGAAAATCGAAAAAGATTGTTACAATAATGAAAAAGAGAAAGAAAACTGCATCTCTTCTCATCGGTTTTTATTGTCTTGTTGGAAATCGATGGAAGCCGATTAAATTATTCGTCTTCTTTTTCTTCTTCTTCTTTGTTAACGATCGATGGGCGAAATGCGAAAGACAAAAATCTGTAAAGATGAGAAAAAAGAGAAATTTGCACTAATGGGTCAGTCACAAATTCTGTTGTGAATGTTAGAAAAAAAGAAGAAGAAGAAGAAGAAAAAAGAAATAGATGCATGGATAGAGAAGAAAAAGCACGGGCACCACCTAATATAATTTGCAATACATTGATTACGATGACGACGAAGAGAGACGAGAGAGAAATTGTTTGTCAACACGGACAACGACATCGAGCGAGACACCAACTCATTTGCTCGATTGTGCCACCGACAACATCACAGAACAAGAACGACATCGAGAAAACCTTCCTTATGACAACTTCCAGTTTTTTTCTCTTCTCTTCTCTCTTTTTCCTTTTAGTCTAATCAATGAAATAGACAGTTAATTGCTCAGACCCGACGAAGATTCTTTCTCTTTTTTTCCAATAAAGAACAACGAGAATTTGTTGTGAATAGCAAAGAAAATGATTTGGATTATTAAATTACTTCATAGAAATTAAAAAATAAAAACAAAATCTTCTTTTCTTTTTTCAAGAAATACTTGAAGAAGATTTTATTATCATCAAATCAATTGTCTAAATGAATCGATTCTTCTTTTTATTTCAAACACGTCTTCGTTTTCAAAAGAACAAAACAAACTCTTCTTAATATCCAATTGATTATTCTTTTCAATGAAAACAATCATCTTCTTTCTTAAATCACAAATAAAATTCGAATTCTTCTCTTTTTCCTCTTCAAAAATGAATTTCTTTCGAAAAGAAATATTCAATGTTGAACAATCCAATTCGAATCATCTTGTGGCATCAGTTTCCCTGAAATAAGGAGAATAATATCAACAATCCACCAAAGTCCTAAACCACCAAGTGTGATCATTTTTCCCACCGCAATTCCGATATGACCAAGTGCAAATCGATCAACAGCAAATAAACCCAAAAAAATTGAATAAAATAAAGTGGAAAGAAAATAATGTGATGAATATTTAATACACGGAATATTGTCAAGAATAAATGTTCGATTTCCTTTACAATGAATTCCATCGTAAATTCGACAACGAACCCAAGTGTGTTCAACTTCGGAATATTTCTCTCCGCCAAATCTTCGACCATTTTTTTTCTATTTGATAAAAAAAGAGAAAAAATCAATAAAAAAGGAGAATTCAAATATTTACTTGACATGATCGTGTTTCATTTTCGGGAATATCTTCAATTGACTCACATTCATAATAATCAGATGGACTAAAAATCAAATGAAATGACCCGAGAAAGGAAAAATATTTCGATTATTCAAAAGAAATTCTTCTTACAGAAAATCACATAGGACGAGTGGATTATATGAATTTAGATTTTCATCAGACACTTCATCAACATCTTTTGATGAAACGAGAATTTCATCACGATAAGTTAAACAATTAATAAAACGAATCCAATAGACAAGAAGAACTAAGAATCTCATTCTATTTGTCTTTTTCTTTGACTTCGTTCGGTCTTTTCCCAAATTAAACAAACTTTCTTTTTTTGAGCCAATCGAGAAAATGAAGAAAAGATGTCGCTATAGAATGATTCAAATATTCTTCTTCTAATTGTTGTCAAAGAAAAAGAATTGTTATCGAACAATTTTTCTGACTTTTTTTTGTCTGATTGTGTAATTGACATTGCAAAGAAGACTTTTTCTTTTTTGAGTATGTGATAATGAGGCAATTAGAATATTTATTATCAAGTCAATGTGAAGAGATTTTCTCTCTTCTTCAAATAGAAGAGTTTCCTTAAAGAAAAAAAAAGAAGTAGAAGAAAATGACTTTCGTTCAAAATAATGTTCTTGACAAATAAGACGAGATTTTGCTTCTTTCGACAATTCTTTCTTTTTCGTTATTAATCGATTTTTTTTCCAAAAACACAAATAGATCATTTTGTTAATCTTAGAACATGATGATTTGATATCACATCTAACTGGTGTTTTCTACATAAGTGACCTTGAAGAAATGATATAACATTGAAAATGTTTATTGAGAAGTACTTTTTTTGTGTCCCCATGTTGTTATTTTGTCTTCTTTAATTAAATAATCTTTGTGCGTGATCGATAAATCATCATAGAATTAGAAAAATCTTCTTTGATAATTTCATTTGAGATGAAAATCGATACTTGAAACGAAGGAAAAGAAGAGTCTAAATAATCATGTTGAGTTATTATTGAAAATAGTTATGATAAAAAGAAAGAAAGAAATTCTTTGAGATAAGAAGATAATTAATGATGAGATTGATTTCTTTTCGGAAAATTTTCATTTTTTACTTCGAGAAATGTAAGAAGAAGAAGAAGATAAGAAATGTTATTAATTTGTTTGAGTCAAATGTAAGGCGAATCTTCTCGATTGATTTATCTATGTTATGTTATCAATCGAGACATGTCATGTCTCTCAATCATTTATTCATAATCAAAGACTTTTCTTCATTACTATATAAATAAATACATTTTAGAAGACATTCCAAATCATATCAAATATCTCTTCTTTCTTTTTCTCTTTCTCATTTCAAAAAACAAAAGATTTCTTTTACAAATTGAATTGTTGAATAAAAAAAATGTTTTCTTCTTCTTCTTCTTTCTTTGTAAACAAATAATCATTGATTTTGTTTGACAGATTGGAAAAGATTGATTATTAATATTCGTTTTTTGTCGATTAACACAAAGAAAATGAGAAATGAGATTTGTTTATATAAGAAGATCTCCTTGGAAAGAGTCAGTCGTTATCTAATTGTCACTAAACATTAAGTGATGTCAAAAAGAGTCCTTTTACAAGAAATTTTCCGATCAAAGATCAAATTCTTTTCCAAGAATTAACAAAATATGAGAAAGACAAAGAATATTTTCTGTTCGGTTTTGTTTTCTTGATGAATTGGAACAAAGAGAAAACGATTAATAACATTTATTGATCGTCTTTAAAAGAGAAGAAGAAGAAAAAGATCGTTTCTTTGATTGTTTTTCACTAAATAGGTAATTTGTTTATGAATTTAAAAAAGAATTTTTCATCGAATATAAATGAAGATTTCTCTTCACATCTTGTTTCGTTTGACATTAATCTCTGAATAGTTGCTTTTAACGGAATATATATATTTCTATCTGGCATCTATCTATTTCTTCTGTCAAACACCCTGCAGATGTTGTTTTTGTTGTCCTTATTCTTGTCGTTGTCATCACCTACCGTGTCCTTTTCTTCTTCTTCTTTCTCTCTCTTCTCTCTCGATTTCTCTCTCTCTCTCTGTTTCTCTTCAAATGAAGACAATAGATCAATGTTTAGTTTCTCAATAAGGAACAAACAACAAAGTAGGTGATCGACGTTTTTCTTCTTTCATCGTTGTTTTCTGAATGATTGTTTTATTCTTTTGAAATAGAAAAGAAATGTCGAAACCACTTGAATGAAGAAATAAATTGTCAGAAAAGATAAAGAGTAGAAGAAAAAGATGAAACCAGAAGAATTGTCTCTCCAATGAATCAAACAAGTGATTCTTTTTGACGGGTGATTTCAACAAGAAAAAAGAAAAAGAGAAAAACTGTTGATTTTATTGAACATCTTTTTTTTTCTGAGCGAAGAATCTTCAAGATAAAGTTTTCGAGGAGAAGAAAGAAGAAAAAATTCGGTTGATTAAAAGCGACAAACAATGTTAGTTGAATGAAGCGAGTCAAAGAAAGATGAAAAGACTTTTTTTTTTATTTATTAATCATCTCTCTCCTTTTTTTTTCTGTTTATTTTAGAGAAAAATTTCTGTCGGAAATGTCAAATATGAATTCACCTTCGGAAAATCTTCAAGCAGATTATAAAGATATTCCAATTCATTATTTAACGAACCATCAACGAATGAAAAATTTACCAAAACAAAGTAACAAAACATTTGTGAAAGAATTTTCTTTTCGAAACAAGAAAATTGTCTTTGTGTTTTGTTTTTGAAAAGATCTAAATGAGATGGAAACGATTATTGATGAAAATTGCGAAGAAAAACGTGTAAAAACAAGTGATAGCAGATGCAATGTTTCATCTGTATTAATGGAAGAACTTTATCCGTCATCTTTCTCTTATTCTCCATCATATCGATCAAAGAAAGAACAACGATCGATATCTGATCCTCGACAATCTCTTCAAGCATTTTCTTACAGAACATTTCTATCAAACAAATCTCCAAGAAGATCAACAGTTATTTCTCTTCCAACAAAACAAAATCGAAATTCTTCAAATGAGTTTCCAAATCAACAAACAAATTCTTATCCAATTGATCAAATAAATAATGACGAACACGATGAAAATATTTCTACACAAATTAAATTAAGTTTACCAAAAAATTCTTCAACAAATATTTTCTATCCACATCGAAATACGATTAGTCATTGTGACACAACACAAGCATTTCTTACCGGAGAATTTCTTTTACCAACAAATCCACCAATAACAGTAACAATTGAACCCCAACAACTTGATTTAAATGAAAATAATTTCAAAAGTAATTCATTAATTCAAGATGATCAAATATGTTCAACAACAACAACAACAACAAATGCAAATAGAACACAAAGATCAAGTATTGATACAACAATTAAACCAGCTTCAACTATTGTTAATTATTTCATGGATTTATTAAAACCAAGTGATAATAAATTAGCAATGAAATTATTTGGAAGTCGAAAAGGTCTTTTAAAAGAACGATTAAGACAACAAAGAGCTGGACATTGTATTATTCATCCTTGTTCGAATTTTCGGTAAAAAAAGAAGTTTTTTTCTTCAAAAGAAAATTCTATTTGTGAATAATTTCTTTAGATTTTATTGGGATTTAATAATGTTAATTTTATTAATCACAAATGTTATTGTACTTCCAGTTGCAATCGCATTTTTCAGTGAGGAAATCAATTCAGCACGTTGGATTATTTTCAATGTTATTTCTGATGCGTTTTTTCTTTTTGATATTGTTGTTAATTTTCGAACAGGTAAAATTTCTTTCAAATCTTTTCTCATCTTCAAATTTGATTTTGTTTAAACAACCAAAGGTCTTTTACGCAATGATTATGTTGATGAAATCGTATTAGAACCACGATTAATCGCTCGAAATTATTTAAAAACTTGGTTTCTTGTTGATTTATTTAGTTCATTACCAGTTGATTATTTATTTTTATTCTTTGATACAAAAGATAATCATTCCGGAGGATATACAATCGCTCGAACAGGTCGAGCAATAAAAGTTCTTCGACTTGTGAAATTATTATCGTTATTACGTTTACTTCGTTTATCACGTCTTGTCAGATATATTCATCAATGGGAAGAGGTGAGAATTTTCGACATTTTTTTTTCTTTGCATATTAGTGAGACAACTAGGGCAGAGAAGATCTCTTATATATATAAATATAGCGACATCGAGTGAGATATCGATGGATAGAATTACGTCTGGCCAATTTCCTGCGCGTTCATCTTCCCATTTGGGTGAAAAATAATTTACTTTTCATTTTGCTTTGGTTTTGCTTTTTCTCTTTTTATAATTTCAATTGAATTTGATGTGAAAAGCAATTTGATTTCGCATGATTGCATTTCTTATTCGATCTCATTTGTTTTTGTGTGTATTTTCTAGGTGCATGTCAAACAGGTCCGTTTTTTCTTCTTCTTTTTATTTCATAGAATTTAGTTGCATGTTTATATTTGATTTCCAATCACATTTAAATAACCTGCATGTTCACTATTCGAAGGGATAGGAGAAAAGATCTTCCTGCCCAATCGATGAATTGATTTCTTATTTAAATATGAAAATCTTCGTTTTTCTTCTTTTTTCAAATCAAATCTCTTCTTTAGTTTTTATCAATTGCGAGTATGGTTATGCGTATCTTAAATTTAATTGCATTAATTATTTTATTGGCACATTGGAATGGTTGTTTACAATTTATGATTCCAATGTTTCAAAATTTTCCAACTGATTGTTGGGTTTCATTGAATGGTCTTCAAAATGCTCCATGGACTGAACAATATACTGTTGCATTATTCAAAGCACTTTCACATATGTTATGTATTGGATATGGAAGATATCCTCCACAAAGTTATGTTGATATGTGGTTAACAATGCTTTCAATGGGTAAGACAAATGACTTTTTTTATTGGCAAAAAAAGTCTTTTCTTATTTTAGTTATTGGTGCGATGTGTTATGCAGTAACAATTGGTCATGTTTCGGCACTTGTTCAAAGTTTTGATACATCAAGAAGATTGTACAATGAAAAAGTAAAAGAAATTCGAAAAAGAAGAAAGAGATTTGGATTTGTTTTCTTAGTATAAACAAGTCGAAGAATATATGGCATGGAGAAAATTACCACGAGAAATGAGAAATCGAATATCGGATTTTTATGAACATCGTTATCAAGGAAAAATCTTTCATGAAGATACGATTTTAACTGAACTTTCTGAAACATTAAGATTGGTTTGTTTTCTTTTCTTTTGATAAAAAACAACAAATTGAATCTTTGCTTTTTCTTTCAAAGGATGTTATTAATTATAATTGTCGAGCACTTGTTTCATCTGTTCCATTTTTTTCAAATGCTGATCCAAATTTTGTTTCTGATGTTGTTACAAAATTACGTTTTGAAGTTTTTCAACCAGGTGATCAAATTATTAGTGAAGGAACTATTGGAGATAAAATGTATTTTATCCAAGAAGGAATTGTTGATATTATCAAAGCAGATGGAACTGTTTTAACAACACTTTCAGATGGATCATATTTTGGAGGTTTTTCTTCTTATTTGATTTTTACAAAGAATTGTCTTTCGTTTTTTAGAAATTTGTTTATTAACACGAGCAAAACGTGTTGCAAGTGTTCGTTGTGTGACATATTGTAATTTATATTCATTGGATTCTTCTCAATTTGAAACAGTTCTCGAATCATATCCATTAATGAGACGAACAATGGAATCAGTTGCTGCTGAAAGACTTAATAAATTAGGAAAAAATCCTTCAATTATTTCAACTCGACATGATTTAAAACGTGATGCAGCTGTTTTAAAAGATATTATCGATCGAAATACTCCAATTCCATCAAGTGATGAATGTTCAACAACAGATGAAGAAAATTCTCCCGATGAAAGTCAATCGAGTTTATCAACAAAACATTTACAAAATTCGAAAGAAAAATTGAAGAAACGAAAGAATTGTTCATCAGATGATCAAACATTTAAGAAATTAAGTCGATTGTTTTTAGCTGCACCAACATCATCCACACAAAATTGTACAACAAATGAAACTCGTCAACAAATTCATAAATCTCCATCAACACCATGGTCACTTTTCAAAAAAACAGGTTCACCATCACCTTCTCTTCCTAATCCACCTACATCTTAGATCTTCTTCGATTTATTTTCATGATCAATTTCTTTTTTTTTCTTGTTTGAAATGATTTTTCTTGAATAAGATTTCTTATGTCAATGAGAGATATGGACAAAATCATGTTTTTTCTTTTCTTTTTCTATTAGAAAGTTAATTGAAGGTCTTGAGAAATTATCCTGCAGAGCTGAAACTAAATGTCATCTTATCGACATATTTTTGTTTATAATAACACAAAGGAGAAGGTTTTCTTCTCTTATATAAATAATCAAAATAATTAATTGAATTTCGACATGACTGANTGAATAAGATTTCTTATGTCAATGAGAGATATGGACAAAATCATGTTTTTTCTTTTCTTTTTCTATTAGAAAGTTAATTGAAGGTCTTGAGAAATTATCCTGCAGAGCTGAAACTAAATGTCATCTTATCGACATATTTTTGTTTATAATAACACAAAGGAGAAGGTTTTCTTCTCTTATATAAATAATCAAAATAATTAATTGAATTTCGACATGACTGAGAGTTACACAAATTTATCTTTGTTTTCTTCAATTAATCATTACTAACGACATTTTATTGAATTTCGACAAAAGAAATTCTTCTTTGACCACATTTTCTATTATTTATTTCTCGATCATATTTCGTATCAGTATAAGATGTCATTCTTTGACATTGAAAGATCTTGTGATGAAGATTAGTTTTCTTCTTCTTCTACATTGATTAGGAAATACATATGGAAGAAAAAGATAAGTACAAATGGTTTTACCAATTTTTTCCCTCCAATAAAGACATTCATTTTCATCAAGAAAAGATCAAATTAGTAATGTGTATGACAATTAATCAATTTAAAAAATAAGATTTCTATACCGCGCAGTTTCAAGTACATAACAAGTATTTGTGCATTTCTTTATCGAATGAAATTTAAGGACAATGATTTGTTCCAAGAGAATAAACGTGTTTTCATATTATAAAAAGAAACTAGAGAATGAGAAAAATATTTATAATCAATGTGAACCTATCACGATTTATCTACAATCATGAAACAAACACTGAGGCACTCGTATGTCAATTAATAACAATTTCGAATCCAAATTTATGGTGTTATTCTTAAACTGTGGATTTGGATATCAGTAATGTCAATTTTCATGTTTTTTCATTCCAAACTGAATAATTTGTATTGATTAGAAAAAAGATTTTCTAAAAAAGAGAAACATAAATGATTATTGTGAAAAATAACGGTATTGTCATGTTACGTATCTTCACAGTAACTGATTTCGATCTCACATTTATTAATCATAATATCTGTAATACTCTTGAAATCCAAACTTAAATTTCAGTTTGATTGAAGAACAAGATGATCTCATATTATCATTCAAAATTGGTGATTTTATTGGGATCGATTTTTGCTCAGTTATTTCGTATATTTTGGAATATCTTTGACTTGACGGATAATATAAAACACTATACAAATACTTGTTAATTGGAAATAAACTGGTTGATTGACTTGGGAATACTTTTCATTGTTTACATGGCGTTTTTACCATGTCGACACTCAAAACTGTTTGTCGTAGTGAAAACACGATCCATTGATTCTATCAATCAAATCAAACAGTTAGCAATAAAACAGAACAAATGTCTCCATCACTTCAACTTCTTGCACTATGTACGATTGAGGAATACTTTTACACGATAGATGGACAGTTTCTCGTAAACTTTGTCGACTATCTTCTTATTAAACTCTATGAATCGAATCGATGTTTAATAAATAATCATGTACACTCTTTCACATAAAAACAAAGAGCATCACAAATTGAAATTCGAATGTTGTTGTATCTATTTGAGAAAGTCATATTTTCAGTAGAAATTCTTATCTTCTCATATCGGTCTAATGTATTTTCATCTGTTTCGTCGCGATTTCGAACAATAAGAATTTTCAGGATAACGAGAATTACAATTCAAAAATTAGAAAAACAATCAGCCTTCTTTTCTAAAAGGTTTATTGTTTAAAGAAATTTCTACAATGTATAATTCAGAATAAGAAACGCCTTTTGTTTACTGAAATTTAGTACAATTAAATACTTAAGACAACAAAATATGTTTATTTTAACAAGCAATTTCTGTTTCTGTTGTAGAAACTAAGAAAGGGAGAAAAATAAAAGTACAGGTCATTATTTTTGGTACGAAACACGTTTGTTCTTTATTGAATAAAATGAAAAAATCAGATAAAACAATGATAAGAACTTCTTTGAAATCAACTTCTGATCAACCAACAGTCTTCTATCAACGTGAACAGAGAAACCAATCGAGGTTCATTGTTTCTTATTCTCATTTTCATTCATTTCTCTCCTTATGTTCATCACAGATGTCAATGTTCCATTTCACGATTTGTTCGCATTCAACTATTATTGCTTTTGGCTCTTCTCGTCTTGGCAGCGATTATAATACCAATTGTAGTTCTCGTCTATGGTATTAACTTTAGAGAAACGTCTAATCACCTTATTCAATCCTTTTTTTGTGTGTTTAGATAATCGAAATTCCACACCACGTAAGTCGTTTTTGATGAATTCAGTCTAATTGTGTTTCTTTTTCGTGATCATAGCATGTTCGATAACCTATACAGGAACGTTTATATCTGGTGTAACACCCACAACTCAATGTGATGATTGGAGAGCATTTACAACAAGTTTGACTTGCACATCTTATTCTAAACTACGTCTGTATGGTTCGAATGATCCAGTTGGTATAAGCGTGACAGATACAAGTGTTATTACTCCACTTGCAATTGCTTTGAGATATAATACAACAATACTTACATCATCAAATGGAGTTAGTTGGAGAGCTGGATCGTGTGGATCTGGTTTTGAATTAGCTGCGAATGGAGCTTGTACTTGTTCATCAAATTATGCATTGAGACCGTGTCAGGGTAGTTCAAGTTGGGGTGGAATTGCTAGTTCGTCATGTGGTGCACAAACACAAACAATTTCACTTCATTTAGAATGAAGTTCAATATTTGTTTATAAATTTATATCTTTGGCTTAGATATAAAGATAGATCAATGTCTTTTACTTTTTGTCTGTTGAAATGATTTCAAATATGAACGAGATATATAGTCATACTTTACTATAATTTGTAACTTTTGAGAGAAAAAACGTTCTCAGTGGAACCCACATAGAAGTGAAGAGTGTTTCACTTATTTTTCTCCATATAAAAGTAAATGTCGAAACTTGTCATCTGATTATATTCCAACACAGTTAGTAGAATAATCCACTTGATTTCCTTTCGTACATCAATTATGATCAAAAGAAGATGAGAAAGATCTAACGAAATTGTGCAGAGATGGAGAAAAAACAATCTATTTGAGACTGAGTAAATGTCAGACAAAGTTTCTCCAACAAGATCGAATTAGATATTGCCGATAGATGTCGTTGTCTGTCAATTGTAGGATGAAATGAGAAGATTCTATTGGTGAGCATATTGATTTCGATTAGTTGTATTATCATTCTCGCATGAAGAGAAGAAAGAAGAGAAGACGAGATGATGATCTAACTATATTCTATTCAATTTTAGATTGATTCAATGAGCTATTCAGGTGAAACAAATACAGAATGTCCTTTAACACCTCTTGATTCAGCACGTTTTATTATGGAACGTGCTCGACATGTTTCAATCAATTTGCCATCGTTACAAAAACTTGCAACGACGGTATTTCATGAAAATCTTTCCAATTGAAATGATGATTTATTTTGATTTTTTAAAGATTTCTTCGGCAATGATGGATGGAGAATGTACAACAGAAGATTGGATTGGGTCAGATGTTGGTCCACCGACAGGTGATTCGACTTCAATGATTGATTGGTATGAACAATGAATAATCTTTCATCATTTAACGAAAGATTTCTTTGTTTTCAAAGGATTTTCTTAACAAGTACATTGAATTTTTCATTTTGGACAAATGATAAAGAAAAAGGTTCATATTGTCGAAAATACAAAGATAAACTCTATCATGGTTATGAAGCAATGTGTGTTGCAATTAATCAAGCCATTTATGTAGACATTTCCCTTTTCTTTATTAACAATTTCTTTGTTTTATTGAAATAATTTTAGGATGGAATAGATATGTTGAATGCAGAATATTATTCTCGTATAACGATGAATGATTTAGAGAATATTTTTCGTCCATTGGATAATTCACCTCCATTGCCAATGTTAAATGAAAGATTGAAAGTTCTACATGAAACTGGTTCGATTCTTCTTCAAGTTTGTCATTTAAATATTTCTTCGATTAATTCTTCTTCTTATTTGATTTGAAAGGAATATCGTGGACATTTTATTCATTGTATCGAACAAAATGGTGGAAATGCAATTGACCTAGTCGAATTAATTGTAAAAACATTTCCTGCATATCGAGATGAATCTGTTTATGACGGACAACGAGGTTTGCCTTTCTTATTGAAATATTTCATTGAATAAATTTTGTTTTCCAGTCAGTTTTTATAAACGAGCTCAAATTTTGGTCAGTGATATTTGGGGATGTTTTAATGGTCATGGAATTGGACATTTTATTGATATGGTCTGTTGAATTTTTCATTGAAGAGAAAAGAAAAGAATTTGAATATGTAAATAGGATCGTTTAACAATGTTCGCTGATTATCGTGTTCCACAAGTATTGGCACATGAAGGTGTTCTTGTTTATTCATCGGAATTGAAGAAACGATTGGAAAGAAAAGAAGAAATAACATTTGGAGATTCAGATGAATGTGAAATTCGTGCTGCATCGATTCTCGCTGTTCATCTCATTGCCAATCATGTTAATGAAAAGAGTCCTCTCGAAAAAGATACAGGAGATTTTGGTGAACGATTGAATGAACCACTTGTTGATGTTTATTTATGGAGAAAGAGACGACAACAAGCACAGATTTACGAACAAACACCTTTTCATCGTACTCGATCCATTTTTTATTAACTCACATTTTCCTTGTTTCCACTATTAATTCTTATATATAATATAATATAACATAAATAATCTATCTCATCTTATCTAAATGAATAAATAAATATTCGATTGATACCTTCAACTAAGGAAATATTTTTTACTATAATTATGATAATAATCTGCTCAATAAATAGGGATGGAACGGTGACGGATAATTGGTCTAATCGGTAACCGCACTACCGATTATCGTTACATCTGGATACCCACTTATAATTGTTTATTTACTGGAGAAGAAACGTACTTATTATCAACAGTGGGGGAAAAACTGATTGCAATTTTGACAATCGATAGCTCAGCCATTTCTCTTTCATAGTCATTTTACGAATTATAAAAAACAATGAACAGAAATCTACATTCATTATTTATCACAGTATCTCAGGTGCACCAATCCGACGACGGATCCGAGTATGGGATTGGTCAACCTGGGATAATCAATGTTATTTACTGAATGACAGAAACAATCAAAGCATGGTAAGATTAAAAAGAAAGTCGTATAAGTTCAAATTTTGTCAAAAATAGAGCGTCCTCACATAACTAAATGCCCTCAAAATAAGAATGACATATAGGAAAGTAGAAGGTTTCGAAAGTTTTGGATGTGGCGTACAATAGTGATACAGATAAATAAAACTACAAAACTTTTTAACTTGAACAATTTGTATATCTCATTGCTGGATGAATTTTGGAATGCAACAATAACAATAACCGTAGAAACCGGTCTGAGACGATTATCCAGAGTTCGTGGGGAATTTGATTTTACGGCAAATTCGAATTTAATGACATTTTTCGACAAAATTAAATGATCAATATACTTATGCAATGCGCTAAGAAAACGGCTTAACACTTGCTTCATAAGAGAGTTTGTATGCGAAGAAATTTGTGATAGACTATAGTTGTATTATGATCTTTATGGTCTTGGTGGTTTTGGTGGTCTATTTGATTTATATGATATTGTGGTCTATGTGGTCTTGGTGGTTTTGGTGGTCTATTTGATTTATATGATATTGTGGTCTATGTGGTCTTGGTGGTTTTGGTGGTTTTGGTGGTCTTGGTGGTTTTGGTGGTCTTGTGGTCTGTGAGATATGATATTTTTGTAATTCTGTAAAAATCGTGATTTAGATATGGATATATAAAGAGTTGAATTCATACTGACAAAGACATCGAGCAAGTTCTATGACGGTAATGTAAGGAAGATTTGCAAGGGAAGATATGTCGCCTGACATCAGTAAGTAACGTTCGTCATTGCAACTCAATTAACCTTCGTCTGTGTAAAAAAGAATTAGTTTTTGTATAAATCGCAATACGATATATTACGCGCATCTCTCCAAAAGACCACCAAGACCACCAAAACCACCAAGACCACCAAAACCACCAAGACCACCAAAACCACCAAGACCACCAAAACCACCAAAACCACCAAGACCACCAAAACCACCAAAACCACCAAAACCACCAAGACCACCAAGACCACCAAAACCACCAAGACCACCAAAACCACCAAGACCACCAAGACCACCAAGACCACATAGACCACATAGACCACATAGACCACATAGACCACCAAGACCCCTATAGTAGTGATGTCAGTTAATATTAGTTTTTCACAAATTCATTTGCTTTTAACATAAATGATTTTGCTACAAAATCATATTCCCCATCATATGATTATCCATTACACGATTAATAGTCACTGTTGCATTCCTATCAATAAATGAGTTTAAAGAGCAATTACTCATATAAATGAATGTCTTTGGTACATTGAAATTCTTTGAAGACAATTAATATAAAAGTTAAAACAATCTTAATATAGTTCAAGTTCATCGGAATAAATTCATTCAAACTAATGAAGATCATAAAATAATTGACGATTACTTATGAAGAGCAATAGATCCTAAAAAGAAAGAAAGATATTGAATAGAGAATATCGATGTAGAATCCTACCGTTATCAATATCACAATAAAGATGCATTATTTCAATTGAAATATTAAACATTTCTTTTGCAATTGTTTTTAGGATATAATGAAAGTTCATCACTTAACCAATGAGTTGAGTTAATTGCTTTTTTCATAGAGAAACTCCGGAATTCCATTGCGATATCAATATCATCAAATGTTGAAAGATCTTTGTGATTTTCAAATGCACATGAATTACGTTTAGTATCAGTGTAAAGCTAGCACCAGAATACGAAAAATCATATGAAACATTATGTTCAAATGAATCCCCGTCCTTAAAAATAAGTTCATCAGATACAGAATTAAAGTGTTCGAACATCAAACGGATCCCTCGAACCACCATGTGACATGATTGGAGAGAGTGGGGGTTTCATTTGCAGTGACTGATAGTAACAAAAGTGTCAGAGTATGATATATTGTTTAGGTATGTAAAGAATGGAATAGTCTTTTTTGTACGGGTTCATTTATTAGAACCGAGATGATAGGACTGATTATTTCGTCGTGTTGGCGACATAAGTGTTTCGTCAGTTGGGGCAAGGTTGTTGAGGACCGCGATATCGATATCGATATTATTATCTTCTTTTTTTGGTGAATATTGAATTGCGATTCTCGGAACTGTTGAATGGTGCACTAGTGGAATTAGCGGATTTTTCATGGTCGCTCGTCGTGTTCGTGGTGGCTTCACACTGACGTCAACATATAATGCATCGGAACGATAATTTATTATATCAGACCCTTTTTTGGTTCGTTTATTAATGAAAGAAATTTTGTGAAGTTACGACTGTTTAGGAATTATGCTACCGTTTATAATATTAATTACAAATGTTTATTAAATGAAAAAAAAATCTGTTAACAAATATTTATTCTCAATTTGAAGAGAATAGATAATATTATCAATATGTTGACACATGGCGATGATCGAGTTAATAAATACAAAAGTAGTTCGTCATTGAAATCTTTGTTTTTCATCGTATTTTCAACCAATTCTAATCATTCATTGAATAAACTACTAAGATTCAATCCGGGTATTTCTAAAGTAGAAACAAAAAGACGATTCAGATAAATTATTTATGAACAAATGATAATGAGAGAATCTGAGATATTTGTTCGATTTACCTTGACTTGTATGAATCAGTGTGAAGCTAGCACGAAGAAACTGTGTGTAAGCTAAAAACTTTTTTCCAAAGTTTGTCCGGTTCATAAAACCTAGTCCATTCGGTTCAGAATTTAATTCTGCATNATGGCACGGTCGGTTCCGGCCGGTTAGGTTCGTTTTCCGACCATTTCCTTGCCGCCGGATTCCGGCCGGAAGTTCAAATGTAGGTTCCAGTCATTTGCCGACCGTTTCCTGCAAACTTCGAGCTGGAAACGGTCAGGAACTGATCGGATATTTCCTGTGCAATTCCGGCCGGAATCCGGCGGCAAGGAACCTGCCGGAACTTGCTGGAATCGGCGAAGACTATGCCGGAATCGAGAAGAGCTGAACCGGAACCGACTCAGATTTCAACGGATCCAGTCGCCGGAATGATCGACCTGGGATCGAGTTAATAAATACAAAAGTAGTTCGTCATTGAAATCTTTGTTTCTCATCGTATTTTCAACCAATTCTAATCATTCATTGAATAAACTACTAAGATTCAATCCGGGTATTTCTAAAGTAGAAACAAAAAGGCGATTCAGATAAATTATTTATGAACAAATGATAATGAGAGAATCTGAGATATTTGTTCGATTTACCTTGACTTGTATGATTCAACCAATCTTGAACAAAATCAGATTTATCAATCCTCGTCTGACGAATGAGTAAACAACAACCACTTCCTTCGCTCGATTCGCAACTGGTGTCATCGTCGTTCGTCTTTTGATCGTTTTCAATGATATTGACATTGAAAGCTCGTGTTGTAGGAATTTTCGGATCTGATGTCGATGGTGAGCTTGCTTGTTTGCTGGAAAAATTAACGATGTCTTGTGCCACTCTTTCTTTTTCTAATTCTAGTCTTTCTTTTTCTAATTCTGATAAAAGTTCCTGAATATAATGTAAATCATCAGATGAGAATGATCCATTGAACAAATCCGTCCATTTTGTCTTCGGCTTTGCTTGAATTGGAATCAAAACTAAGTACGAATTCATTTTGTATTCATTTAGTTCGTTGTTTGAATTGAAACATTCAATTTTTAATGATCGACGGCCTGGTATTGGAGGTGTAGGAGAAATTGATACTAAATGTTTTAAAAGGTTTGTGAATGAAACATTGTCGACAATTGATTTGTCATCATTTTGTCTTGTCATCGGATTCACTCCCTCAAATGTTGCCATTAAAAGAATTGTGACTCCAGTGTCAATATGCCAACATAGCGACGGACGAGATCTCGAACGATATTTGGAGGAGGATGATGATGATGATACTGACGATGATGATGATGTGATGATTCCAGGGTTAGAATTATTGTTGATCAATTCAAAAGCTTCACGAATACTATGACGAGTATAGTAAATTTCGCCGAATGATGGAATTTTCGACTTTGTGGAATTGTCAGACATTATATTAGTACTTTCTTAACTTAAATGAAAACGAATAGTACCTTGGCTCCACTGTTGTAATCCATCAACAGAGAGAAAAAGAAAAACAATCATTCGTCAATTTGTTTCTACCAATTGAAATTATTGAACGAGAGAGGGCGCAAATTTTCAAGAGCTTGGTATTTTTATTTTATGATGGAATTGATATTTTAAATGCAGAACATTATTCTCGTATAACGATGAATGATTTAGAGAATATTTTTCGTCCATTGGATAATTCACTTCCATTGCCAATGTTGAATGAAAGATTAAATGTTCTAATGAAACTGGTTCGATTCTTTCGAAGGAATATCGTGGACATTTTATTCATTGTATCGAACAAAATGGTGGAAATGCAATTGACCTAGTCGAATTAATTGTAAAAACATTTCCCGCATATCGAGATGAATCTGTTTATGTCGGACAACGAGGTTTGCCTTTCTTATTGAAATATTTCATTGAATAAATTTTGTTTTCTAGTGAGTTTTTATAAACGAGCTCAAATTTTGGTCAGTGATATTTGGGGATGTTTTAATGGTCATGGAATTGGACATTTTACTGATATGGTCTGTTGAATTTTTCATTGAAGAGAAAAGAATTTCAAAGATATGTAAATAGGATCGTTTAACAATGTTCGCTGATTATCGTGTTCCACAAGTATTGGCACATGAAGGTGTTCTTGTTTATTCATCGGAATTGAAGAAACGATTGGAAAGAAAAGAAGAAATACCATTTGGAGATTCAGATGAATGTGAAATTCGTGCTGCATCGATTCTCGCTGTTCATCTCATTGCCAATCATGTTAATGAAAAGAGTCCTCTCGAAAAAGATACAGGGGATTTTGGTGAACGATTGAATGAACCACTTGTTGATGTTTATTTATGGAGAAAGAGACGACAACAAGCACAGATTTACGAACAAACACCTTTTCATCGTACTAGATCGATCTTTTATTAACTTACATTTTTCTTGTTCATTGTTAATCTTCTTTTATATATATAAATAATCTATCCACTCAGCTTATCTACACAAATAAATAATACCTGATTTCCCCACGGAAATGATTCCTTTTCTACGATGTTTAACCAACACTAAATGAATTTGAAATAAAAAAAAAACAAATATTTAAGATAATTTACTGGAAAGAAACTGTCGATGTAGACAGGTCTTTTAATTTCCATTTTGTTTCTCAACTCCGATTGAAATTATGATCAGTTGTCATCGAATCAGTATTAGTTAACACTGGTTACGGTATTTGCTTTTCTTTCAGAATGATTGAAATCGAAAGAGATTTTCCTTAAGAATATGAAATTACATGATGGACGATATTTCAAACACGTTTTGTTAGATATACTGTAGGTATATAGAACTGTAATCTCGTTGGAGAAGAAATAACATCGAAAGGTGTCGTGCACTCATAAAAGCAAAAACATTTTCGTTCGGAGTGTTTTTTTTTCGTTTAGAAATTGATTAACTTTTAGATATGGACTCAGTACATTATTAGAAAGAGTACGAGTAGAAAGAACGCACTATGTCGTACGTCATAAACATGACATCAATTGACCAAACCATATTTCTTTCCCTCTAATTTGTTGTTTCAATTTCAGACATTCACAAGATAATCATTTCAAAGATATTTGTTTTCTTTGAAATAAGCAACAAGACGACAAATAAGGTCATTTTTCGTTAATTCGGTTAAATCATTTGACCCTGCTAACGAATACAGATGAGAAGGGAGACTCGTATAAAGAACAGTAAATACGTATTGAGAGGATTTCTTTTCTTTCTTTCTCTCTTTTTTGTGTCTCTTGTCATTCTTATGATTACTTTGAAAGGTTTTTATAATCATAGATGACCTAGTACAATGTAGAAGTAGGTAATTGTGACATAAAATTAATCGCAATTCTATTACTCATATCGCTCGATATAAAGTCAAGGGAAAAAGTTGATTTGAGAAAGAAAATGAAGAATAATAGATCGACATATGAGATATTTTTTTAATTTTTCAAATATCAATTCATATTTGACTTGATCGTTTTGTATTTAATGAAATTATAGAAGAATAAATACAAATAGAAATTTTCATAAAGGAAAACGAAATGATTCCTGTTTAAAATGATGAAAAAACGTTCGAACACGTGTTGTCATCAATGATGTCAATATAAAAATATGTTTGTCCTTACCTAATGTATATATAATAACATAGAAAATAAGATACGGATGGATTCACAACGTAGGAGACGAAATCAACAAGATGGTTTTATTTCCTCAGAGTGGCTTTGGTCGATTTCTATTATTTGTGATCATTTTATCCGTAATCTCATATTTAACTTTAAATATTGTTTCTTTTGCTGGTACATCATGGATTACATATACAGATACAACAATTCGTTTTGGTCTTTGGAGAGTTTGTGATACATCATCATCAGGTCTTTGTAATCAATGGGCCGATAGTACTTATACATCAAATATTACAAATTTTGTCATGGGAACATCAAAGCCAAGTATTGTCAATAAATTTTTCCAAATCTATTTTCATTTTCTTTGTTTTTCTAATTTTCTTTTCCAAAGCTTTTATTCAATCGTGTCAAGCTTTAGAAATCATTTCATTAATCTTCTATATCGTAGCTGCTGTATTGATTATCTTTGGTATATTAGATCTAGGTGGATTATCTTATGTTCTGATGTTTGCAGCTGCTGCTGCTCTTCTATTTATTTGCAGTATGTTTTCAAAGGAAATGATTGTATTCTTTTTAAAAATACTTCGAAAATGAATTTGTATGTTATAGTTGTATTTATATCAGCAACATTGGGTGTCATGTCTGTTCAAGGACGAAGTGGTCACATTGCATATCTTGATTGGGCATGGTGGAATGGTCTTGTTGGACTTATTATGACAATTGTTTGTTTCTTTGCATTGATCATTTTTATTCTCGATATGAAATTTTCTCCGACAAATTCTCATATTCCAACGAGAACAAAGTTTGTTTAAGAAGAAATCTCTTCAATATAGACACATTCTTTTATTTATTTTCTATTTTAGAAAAAGTGTTCAACAAAATGTATGGGGAAATGTTCCAATAGGTCCATATGGAATGGCTCCACCTATTGTTCAACCTGAACCTTATGGAATTAGTCAACTAGTCTATCCAATGTACAATCAATATCCTTATGAACCGAATTCTTATGCGCAAAATTATTCATCTGAATATGTTCCACCACCAGCATTACCTCATCATTATGATTATAATAATTATTCTCAACAAGCTCCATATTATCCAGTAGAGAATCCAATGATAACATATGGAAATTCTTATTATAGTCAACCATATTATTCTGAAAGTCCATCACCATTAATCACCGCATTAGCTCGTCAATATGTTTCTGATATAAATGATGCTCAATATCGAAATCATTTGGCTGATCCATACATCATTAATAATTATCTTTAGAAAGAAGAGAAGAAAAACAAGAAAAATATCATTTATTTTGGTTTTCATTGACGCATTTGATATTTTTTGTTTTGTTTTTCTTTAACACGTGATCGATTTCAAGGTTAAACAAAAAGAGACGAAAACAAATACAATCATAAGGAGAGAAAATGAAAATGAAATATTTCGAAGTAAAAAAGAACCGAAAACGGATAAAAGATGAAGATTAATCAATGATTGGAAAGAATTTGATCAACATGTGTTTTAAGATCTTGAATATCTGTTTTTAATTGTAAATGAATTGTTTTTAATTGATTGTGAATTTTTAAAATTGATTCTTCAAAATATTCTTTAAATTGATTTTGATTTTTCATAAAAAGATTCTTTTCATCGAGAAAAGATTTCTTCAAGAATTTCTCTCGATTTTTCAAATGATTTGCTTGAATTAAACCTGTATGAATTGTAATTCCAAAATGTTCATAAGATTTCTCGGCAAATTCCAAACGAGATAAATCCGATTTAAATAAATATTTATTCAAATATTTATTATTCAAATATTTCAAAGTCATTTTCGAACAGATTTCACATAGAAATCCAAAATTGCTTTGAACTTGTAAAATTGTTTCAATTCGTGAACGAAGATGTTCACGTTTCGCATTTAAACGAAATTCTTTGACATCAGCCACAGCGAGACCAGCCTCAACAAAACAAAATAAACACATTTGTCGAAAGGGAAAATGAAGAAATTTGTACCATAATATTCGACATAACAATAAACATTGTTAAGATAAATATTGAATAAATAAAAAGAGCTCCTTCAGCACCTTTTATTGGAATTTGATTTGGAAAAAATGTTTCATCAAAATCAAATTCACCTGAAATGAAAAGAAAACATTTGAAGATTTGGTTTTTCATCGAATCGATTGGAAAAGAAGAGAAATACCAATGAACATGACTAAAAGTTTCGGAATTAAATAAAATGAATGAAATTGTGGTGAAAGATCTTTCATTAAAAGATAAAAAACGAGATAAAATCCGATCCAAATAAATGAATAATAAATAATAAATTTAATAAATGTAAATAAAACAGTTAAAAACAGAAGACCATGTTTTCCACATTGCATTCCTTTCATAAATACAAATAATAAAGAAAACCAAACAGATAATAAACCAATTGAACCAATTTCCCATTGAAAATGACAACGAATTCCTGTTTGATGTGTACATTCATTAAAATCAATTCCATAAATAATTGCACTTATCTAAATTGATTGGTTTTATCAAAAATGAATATTCAATTGAAGATTTACTTACATACATATGAATTTCCAGAAAATTCAAAAATATCTTTTTAAAATATTTATTTTTCTCTTTGATTAATTGAAAAGCTTCTTTAAATAAAGTTAAAATTGATATAAAAACCAGAATATATCGAAATAATCGAAGATAAAATTGATTATAATTTTCTTGAAAATAATTTGGATGATTAATTAATTTAAAACAAAATTGTTGACAAGTATCATTAATTAAAGTATAATAATTGAATTGATCAATTGATCTTGTTGGTGAGAATAATAAAATGAATGTGTATAACATAACATAAAAGATTTGACCAAATGTAATTATTAAATAAAGAATATTTCCAAATAACGAATATTTCAAATCAATACAAAGACGAATGATTGGATGATCATAAATAGATTTGATTAAGATTTGATTGATTTGATTTAATGGATGTTCATTGTACCAACTTTGTTTTGACCAAGAAGATTTTTCATGTCCAAATAAACATTGATTTGAAAATGGACAAAGAAATAAACAATCATCAATGATTGATAAATCAGCACCATTATTTTCAATGACAAAATGATCAAGTAATGAAGGAATTAAATCATAAAGATTTTCTTTTTTTAAAAGACGTTGAAGTGGAGTTAAACGATCAATTAAATTAAAATTATTTAAAAATTTTTTATATTTTTCTTTTAAAAAATGTTTTTCAAAAGAAAATTCTTGAGAAAGAAATAAACGAATAAAAGAAATTTTCTCATTTTCAATTGAATATTCAAATAAATTAAATGAATTATGAATTAAAATTTCTAATAAAATTTCCAAACGTTTCATATCACTTAACCAAAAAGCCATTAAATCAATTCGATCATTATCAATTGCACAACATACTGATTCATTATTTAAAAATATGGAAATATCCAACGAATTCTTTTTTAACAAATTTTCATTGGAAAAAAATAACCGATTACATCGAATATTTCCTTTTTCAACTGAGATTAAAAATGGATTTTTGCCAACTTTATTTTTTTCAATTAATCTTAATAAAACCTAAAAGAAATCCGAAGAAATCCGAAAGAAAAAAAAAGTCAAAGAAGATTTACTTGTGTTTTTAAATGTGGACTATTTAATCGTTTAATTAAAATCATTGCACGTGATAAAACAATATGATTACATAAATAAGTTGCATAATGAAATACAGAATTGAGATTATGATCACAAACAGTTATTGTACTTGGATCAATATCCATTAAAAACATTGCTGTTGAATAATGTGAACATTGAATTGCACATAATAATGGTGTTTGACCTTTTCCATTTGTTAAACGTGTTCCATATGGTGTTTCTTCAATTAATCGACGTAAAATATATTCATGACCAAGACGCGCTGATAAATGAATTAATGTTTCACCTATTGATAACGAATAAGCTTTTTTATTTGATGATTCTAAACAATTTCCAGCATGAATAAATTGTTGATTTGAACGTGTAGAATTTGTTGGATGAGAATATTCAATAACAATATAATGAGCACAATGAATACTTGATTTACGTCGTTTTAATGAAATAGAATCATCATAAAAACTTTCATTCATTAAATGATCTTCAGCACTTCGTATAAAATGATATGAACGATTAGAATTTAATGATGAAAAAGAATTTGTTCGTTTTGTTGGTAAAATTAAACTAAAAGGATTTCGGCGCATCTTCGTTCACAATGAAAATTTTCTTTTAATTTCTTGATTTCGATTTTCTTCTTTTTTTTCTATCAATAGAAAAATCTCAGGTCATTCGTCAAGGTCCAAAGAACATTTGATCAAGGTCACTTTTTCTTTTTCTTCATCAATGTGAAAATTTTCATATTCAATTATTAAAACAAAAGTTAGATAAATTCAATAATCGAAAAACGATAAACAAATCAATATGAATGGGTAATCATTTCTCGTTTCGAATCGTGAAATATTCGATTTAATTTCATAGAGAAAAATAAGAGATAAACGAACAACAATCGTATTTCATTATAATAATTTCGATCATCGATGAGATTTGATTTTAAGAAAAGTTTTTTTCTTTTCGAAATAAGATCAATGTTTATGTTTGTAATCAAATCGTGTCATTATCATTTCTTAAATAAATATGGAAATGAGAAAACGACTTTTGTTCTCATTGAAGAAGAATTTCATTGTTTTAATTGAATTATTTCAAACTTTTTTCTTTGTGTCGTGAACAATTGAGAAATGAACAGAAAAGAAGAAAGTTTCTTTTTTCAATTGATTTTATTTTTAGTAAAACTAATTCTATAGTGAGAAATAAACTAAAGAATTCTTTTTATTTGTTTAAATAAAACGAAGCAAAAAAAGGTCATTCGTTAAGGTTGAATGAACATTATATGAACTATAATATCTATTTAAAATGTATGTATATATATATAAATATCTCTACGGATGTTTAAAAAAAATCAACGTTTTTGAAAAAACGAGAAAATGAAAAAGAAAATGTTTTATTTGTTCTATTCTTTTTAAAAGTTAATTTGTGGCATATAAGCATAATTAGATTGAGGAATATAAGGCCATGGTGTTTGTTGATAACTATTAAATGGTTGTTGTTGTTGTTGTTGTTGTTGAGCTTGTTGAAATGGTGATCGATCATTAAATGGATAAATTCCATTTGACCAAATAGGTGCTAAATTCATTGGTGTTGTTGGAACAATTGGATATTGATTATATGAATATGTTGGTGGAGTAAATTTACTCAAATCATATGGAATACTTGATGGAAATCCATATTTATATTGAGGTATATTTGCAAAAATATTTGGTGAATAACCAACAGATCCTTGAAAAATATTTCCATTGATTGGTAATGGTTGAGGCATTGGTCGAATAATTGCTCCATATTTATTTGGACGATGATGCTTTGATGCACGTGTCTGTCGACTTTTAGGTGAATGAATTTCATGATGTTCTTCAAATTTTTCAACTTTTTCAACTTTTTCACTTTTACCACTATTGAATAATCCCATAACTGTATAGATTTCTACGCTACTTGCTGTACTTGATGAAGATATTGATGATGATGATGGTGAGATTGATATTGATGCTGATGACGATGGCGACGAAGTTCTTTTCGAAGTTGCCAGTCTGAATTCTTTATCAATTGCTTCGAACACAAGAAAAGACGCAACGAAATCGACACGAACAAATCAAAAGAAGAAATGATCAAACTATTCGTTGATTTGATTTTTTTTCTCTCCATATATTTCAGTCATGGTTGAATGATCTATTACATTTTTTACTTCACACTAATCTCACGTCTTTGCTTGTTCATTTCTCATCTATCATAATTGTCGATGTTCAAATGAAGAAAGAAAAAAGAAGGGAAAAAATGATGCAATATGAAATGAACCGTAACAAGGTACTTGGGACATATTACATCCATCATTCATTTTAACATTGATCAATGAACCAATATCACTTGACATTTATATCATTTATGTATGACCAAGAAAAAGAAATGAAGAAAGAAAAAAAAAGAAAGGTTTTTGATTTAAAGCGAAAATTGAAAAGTTTCATGTGGCTTGATTTGAATGCCTTTCTCACCGCGACTTTTTTTGGAATGGAAGAACCATCGAGAATCCATCGGCGAATAACTATAACGTCTTCATCGTTCTTATCGAAGATTTGATCAGTTGACACGTATCAACAGTGTCTTTTGTCACATTTGACCCGTTCTTTTTAGACAAAACGAATCTCAATGAAAGTTCCATTTCGATACCCGAAAGGCAAATTATAAATCGGATGGATTCCCGTGAAATAATTTGATTAAAAATTATTCATTTCCATCGATTAATCGAAGTTTTACATCAGAGACGAGAAAGAATTTGCTTGATAGTACATTTCAATTGATCTGTTTGTATGAAAATCTGAAATTTCGAATAAAGAGCAGCAATATCTCGATCTATTGCATCAGTTCAACTGAAAACTAATGAAATATATCCTAGACAGATGCTGATGGATTTTTTTCCTTTTTGATTTATCTAAATAAAGCATATTTCGATTATTTGTGGTTGATTTTCGCTCACTATAAGGCAATCTCTATCGGCCAAGGGTGAATATCATATGAATCATCATTGACATTCTTTCATATAAAGAATTCGTGTCCAATATTTTCGAGGGATGACCTTCTGGAATCGGTCACTAGTTCAACACGATGTAACTGTTCTCTGTCCGTTCGATGTACTTGATTTTGCCCGATTTCACGTGTTTTTCCGAGAGAAACGATAAAATTTCAGACAGAAAGATAGCGAAGAACGCAATTCACATTCAAAATGCTTTCTTCGCTATTCATACGACAACATTAACATCGTTTTTAAGTAAATTTCACTAAATTCACCGTTTGGATTCATATCCATATATTTAAATAATCATGTGCGATCCCAATAACATTAAAATTAATGACGTAAAGATGGATCATTATGACCTTTTCACGGGATCCCTAGGAACATCAGGTAATTTAATTTCCCATCGGATGAAAGACATTAAAACGAGACTTAAATAGATAAATTCATTTAACAAAGATTGAAACTGATAAAGAACAACATCACATTGCTTTTTTTATCATTATTCAGTTGGAAATAACTTGAATTTCCACACATCGACCATACAAAGGTCAAAATTAACGCAAATTTGAAGATCTTCGAACGTCTTTCGTCCACTAGAATGACGATCGAAAATATCAATTTCAAATTATTTAATGCGTACATTCGTCCGTACTATCAATCGGCAAGAAAGATCAACTAGAAGGTCTTAACCAAAAAAATATTTCGATGCATATACAACTGGCATGACGTCAGTAACACTGCAATCATGCATATGACCAAATATCGATCAATAGCCGATTTAACCTCGACACATTGGAGCAAACTAATGGAAACAATCATAAGAACAAATCCAAGTATATTACAGGACTGCTTACAGCACAAGATGGCTATTTTATACCTGCAAGAATATATCAATAACCCGGTCTTAGCTAGACAAAGAAGAACCATATTCGGCAGAGGTCGTACCCGTAAATGCATGCGTAAACTAATGTTAGAAAATCAACCGACTCTACTCGATCACATTCTGACGTTTCCCAGCTAAATCGACGTTAAACTTCAGATTTGGATAAGCAGCGCAATAAATCATATTGCACGATTTCGTTCATACCGATTCTTTCTTTCTCTGTCTTCTTCCCTTAATCACGTCTATACACGAAATCTATTCTATCCCTTTCCTTCTCTTCTCGCACACTTGTTTTTCTAGTCACATGGATTAGTGGCAAACTGTCCACAGTGAGCGTATACGGCACGTGTGTGTCGTTTGCTCTCGTCTAATTGCTTTTTTTCAGGCTACAGAAGCGATGTTCGCTTATAGCCAAGAGATATCTTAATAAGGATGTTTCCTAAGGATATTAGCTTTAATAAACAAGAGACAATTTTCGAACATCCTTGGAAATGGTTGCGGAACACATCATCGCCAGCAAGGGAAAAAACCAAATAACGTAAGATTCGAACATAAAGTTATAAAAGAAATCCTTGAAATTCTCGATAAAGTTTCAGATAAATATATAGGAATCGAAATGATAAGCGATAATATCTGTTTTCTCCAAATTTGAGGACTTTTCATCAAACAGGATTATGATGAAAACCATTGTTATTTATAGAAATTGTGATTGATGTCGATCGTTATGATTTCATTTTTTAATTGTGAGGAAGCAAAATCATTGAGAAAACCGTCAATAATGAGTTTTACTAATTTAGAATTTCATTTTGAGGTGGAAATTTCGTGTGTATCTGTCATATGAATACACAACGATTATCGAATGTAATTCTTGTCTGATTTTTAGATCAGTTTTTATTCTCGGTGGAAACAACGCGAAACGATTTGGAGAATTGCAAACGTTTGTGCAAGAATCGAGAAGCGCTGTACTGTATCCGACTCAGATTTCGACGGATCCAGTCGCCGGAATGATCGACCTGGGATGATGGTGAACGGCTAAGTTATCAGGATTTGTTGAAAAATATTAAGTTATTTAATTGTACCTTCAACGCCCGCTGTATACCGGGAGGAGAAGAACTAACAGGTGAATGCAGTCTCGACGTCATCGTAGATTTGAATAATCTGAACGAGTAAAGACTTGTTTTGCTCCAAAAAATAAAAAAATTAATTAGTTGGAATGTTTTGACCGCCGTAATGGTTTTACAATCGATCACGGCAGGTATGCACAAAATAAAGCTATTCTGCAGAAAAGCACTTCGTTGGCAGTTTCTGTAACTTGCCCAGCATTAGCAAAATCATTAGCATACTATTTTTTAACAAAAGAATTAAAATGTAAATTTCTTTTCTACTCATTGACGAGTGTTTTGTTCAACTATGATCGTCTTCAACAGGGTTTGAGCAATACTGAAAAGAAGCTCTATGATTAGTCAATAGTAAACACAAAATATCGCATTTTCATATAAATAAATAAGAATTTAAAAAAATAGCATAATAAAAGAATGAGAATAATTCTTAGTCGTTGAACATAGTGCGCTACACAAATCAAATGTTATTATAGATCCGACGGATTTTTCAATCGTTCATGTCTTGAGTGGGATTTTTGGCAATAGGGAAAATAATTTATAATTTATTTTGATGTCAGTTATCACAATAAGAAATTGAACAGAGTAATACAACAGTCCTATGTTAAATCGAGCGTCGATGATTGTACGATCGAAAGTATTTTTTAGATTAATTTCACTTTCGATTTATTTTCTGCAAAGTAATTTTTGTTTCGCATATAGCTACGATAACCAAATTCGACGTTCGGTGCAACTTGAAAAACGTATTTGACATATCATAGAATTTGGTAGTTGTTCATTAGCAGCGTTGAATATTGCTTCTTCAATTGATGCTTCAACTTTTGGGTCACGTCGTAGTAAACTATATTTATTGATAATCAATTGAACAAGTCGATCCATTGTCTCGATAATCTTTATCACAAATCGGACGAGATTTTCATTGAAGTATAAATAACGTCCACTAGTTTCGAAACAACATATACCAGGTAATAATTGAACGAGAAAGTCAATATGAATGTATGTATTTGGATCTTTACTACTTTTGTTTAATTCAAGACGTAAATGTTTCACATTTGTATTGGAATGTGAGTAAAGAGATAAATCTTCCCATTCTACAGTGAGTTGTAAAAGACAAGGCGACATTTGAAGTATTTTATCAATTATGTAAGCACGTTCCGATCGCTTGATTACCTTAGGTTGAAAGTCAAAAACCACCGAACGTAACCAAGGAAAACGCAAAGAAGACCATGTTGAAAAAGATTGATTGTTTTGGAGAAATTTCTAAAAGAAAAAACAAAGTATTAAAGGTGTGTGTTGTATGTCACATATTTATATGTTAATCTCACAACAATCATCCGCCATCAATTCATATGCATATACTAACTTTCATTTCACAGAATTGTAGAACAAGTGTATCTACATATCCAGTAGTCAGTTT